GAGCAGCGGCCCAGGGTTCGAATCCGACCTGTGGCCCTTTGCTGCATGTCACCCCCTCTCTCTACCCCCCTTTCCTGTCTATCTTCAGCTGTCTTTATCAATTAAAAGGCAATAAAAAGACAAAAGGGTGCTCTTTAAATGAGCAAATAATCATTATTCATTATTATATAGTATCTTAATAGTCAAAATCCCTTACTTTAAACCTACATTCAGCACAGTACACTGTATGTGTGTGTGTGTGTGTGTGTGTGTGTAGACACTGATGAAAGTCATACTTAGTAAATCAAAGTGTAAAATGCTGCTTTTCACTAACTGGAACAAAGCACTAACTTACATCCAATACGCGGAAACAATCAGCTTCATCTGTAACCAATCAGCAGAACACAGAGCATGCACACACACACACACACACACACACACACACACACACACACACACACACACACACACACACACACACACACACACACACACACACACACACACACACACACACACACACACACACACCAATAACCATGGTAACAGCTGTAGACCATCCAGCTGTGACGCAGAGAGAGAGCGAGAGACATCTGGAAGTAGTTATACCTACTCTGACCACAAGGAGGCAGCAACGGACAGTCACTCTCACCTGAGTGTGTGCTCAGGCAAAATAAGAGTTGAAACCATGATGAGGATTCATATGATTGCGCTGGTCATGTAATAGACCTTTTCACAGCATTAATTTTGACATGAATTAGTAGAGTAAACACAGCTGTACCAATGACACTAATTAAGGCTCTGTTCCATTCAGCTCAAAAACAGGGTCAGGGTCTTGTTATTGTGCAATTGTTTCTTACTGGAAATGCTCCGCTAAACTAAATAAAACAGAACCTGATTTAATGTGATTGGTAACACCAGTGTTTACCCTACTATTGCATGTCAAAATGACTGCTGTGAAAAAGGTCTATTGCAGTTACATAAGGTGTGCATGTCATAGCATCCACTGGGGCAACAGATTTATAAGTCTCATTTTACATGTGTTGCTGCGATGTTACTGGTGTCATTGTGTTCTACAGAGTTTTCACACTTAGATCACTGTTATAAATTAGATATTGGGTGCAATATTGGCAAATGTTGAGTGCTTTATTGGTGGTGTCTTAACTCCATCCAGCTCTTAATTATTTTTATTAGCCTGTAGCTTCATTGGGGCACCCTGGTAGCTCAGCTGGTTGAGCTGGTGCCCCATGTACCAAGGCACTTTGCTGCTGCGGCCATGGGTTCGAATCCAACCTGTGGCCCTGTGGCTGTGTGTCTCCCCCTCTCTCTGTCCCCCCTCTTCTGTCTTAAGCTGTCCTATCAATAAAGGGAAAAAAAGCCCCCAGATAAATAAAAGCCTGTTCCTTGATCGACAAGAACAAAACAACAGGGTCTTAAAAAGCTTTTATTTGTGGACAAACTGTAACCCTATTTACAGTTTTCAATTTTACAGTGGCAAGATATATTGAAAAGACATACAAAACAAAAATAAAACACACAAAACAAAACAAGGCTGCCAGACATTTTACAAAATTACAAACATGTCACAACATCTTGAGAGCTAGGAAAAGTAGCATGAACTGAGTTAAACATCCCACACACTCACACATGTATCCAGGCAAGTAAGAGTCCCTATGGATGTGGGGTAATTTGGCACTGTGCTAAGAAAGGTACCGATACTCTTTCAAATCTATTCTGCGTACTGGGTTTGTACAGAAGTACCTGAATTGATATGTCCAGTACTGAGTGGCTTTATTATGTGTTTCTTGCAAGAATATTATGTAAGATTTAAGTAACTTCAAATGCACAAAAACTTTACCACGCTTTATTGGGGGGCCTAAACACGAACATTCCAAGAGACCAAGGATATGGAATCAAGCATGTTATTAATTTGTGATACATTGAAAAAAGCACAGAGACTGGGAATTGAGCAACCAAAAATAATAGCATTATAATGAAATACAAACATTCAAACTGGCAGCCATGAACAACCAATAAAAAACAAAACAACAAGTGTCAGCGACCGGAACACCTCCAACTCACAGCCCCTCATTGACACAGTGCAAAACAGGTTGAACATAAAATAAACAAAACCACCATGATGCTGCCATGTTCAGTACCCATTTAGACTCTTATCTTTCTAAAAATAGCCTTTTGAAGGTTTTGGTTTTACCATATTCATCACTTCAGCCAGACTGCTGAATATTTTTACTTACCCTTGGTGATCCACAGGGAGCCTGGCCGGGAAAAATTGAGTGCCAAATCTCCTTCTCTCTCAGCAGTTGTAGCACCTCACGAAAGCTCCGCCGTTGCTCCATTACCTCTGCAGTGTAGTCAGGGAAGATTAAGATTTGATGACCTGTATTCTAGTGATCACTGCCTCCCGAGAAATCTTTTCTTTATCCTGTGCGAGATGCACCCATGCAATTACGGTGCATGGTTTGGAGCCATCCAGTAGTTTAGACTGTTGTGTTCAGTGTTCTCTGCTGATGACAGACTGGCCTGGTCAAGTTGTCATCTCCTAGCAACTTGGGAATCAGGTTGGAAACAAATTCAGTTGGCCTCCCGTTCTCCTCATCTTCTGGGATCCTACAATCTTAATGTTGTTGCGCCTGGATCTCCCTTCTAGATCTGAAAGCTCGGCCCGTAATCTTTTATTTTCCTGCTGCAGCTCGGCAACTGAAGTTTCCTCAGTGTGAATTCGCTGTTTGTGGTCTGCAGTTTGACTTCCGTTCATGGACAATCTCTCAGTGAGCGTATGCTGGGCAGACAAAGGGTTTTGGAAACTCTTCTCAAACTTGTTGAAACGCTTGTTAAGAGGGCTTGTAAGGCATTTTCTGGCAAATAACTGGAAGCTCGTCTTCTTCATCGGTTGGTGACATGTCTGAAAATTTCTTGCTAGTTTGCTCAAGGCTAGTGGTAGAATCAGCAAGCAGTTCCCTTACCACCTCGTGCAGTTTTATTATACATATTCACAATCCACTTTTTGTGGAGTTAAAGAGAAACGGTCAGTGCAGTGCCTCCTTAACCTACACTGTTCACTGTATCACTAGACACACAAGAAGGAGTAGAGTTTGTTGAGCAGCACCATGTGGTGGAAAAGCAGCTTAAGTTTCCATGTCATTCCAGATCTAGCCACCCCCTCCTGCCTGGCAGTAAACCTTTTCCCTATTCCCTAATTTGAAGCCTAATATTATGTTACATAAGCACTTACTAAGTTGTAAACCACAATATCTTTTATCAAATCACTCTGAAAGTGATCCCAGTGATATCGTTCTCCACTGTTGTTGTCATTATAGCTGTGGTGTGAACTCCCCCATCCACTTTTACAATTTTTAAAACAATATATTTATAGTTATTGCTATAGGTATCGTTCTTGGTGTGGACTCAACCCTACTTAGATTTTTTTTCACAGAGACAAGCATCTCCTTTTAATAATACAAGATATCATTTTACTAAAGGCATTTTTTCTTATATAACATATGTAAGAGTAGTATTTTTATATTCTCTTTTGTGGAATTACTTAATTTCATTTACAACTTGTAAATGTTACTTTCTATTAATTGGTAAGGCCACTGATAATGCAGACTTTTGAGAAGCATTTTTACTATTACTTTGCTTCTGGCATCCCTGCCACAGTTTCCTGTGTATTTATCCCTCCCTAATCCTTCTTCTCCTCTCTGTCTTTGACATTATATCATGCAGCTCAATCAAAACAAGACATGCGCACATATATACAGACACTCTCAGTAAGGTCCAGGTCTTAAGGTTCCCATATCTCCTACTATGACCTGCTGCTCCAGGAGACCAACTACTGCGTCATTAGGACTAGACTGGTCTGGCCTTGTCTAACCTCAAAAGGCTTGGAGGATGTGAGTACAGCCAACTCATGTTCATATCATCAGAAGGAAGGACTGCGCAGAATCATGGGACCTTTGAGTTTCAGCTTTTTCTCATATCTGGAGTCTTATCGGTTATCTTCAGGCCAATTTCCACAGCTTGTGTTTGCCTGGTTTGTTTCCTGCCTCGTCTGCCCAGTAATTTTCAAATGTACTAAAAGCTCACATTTCCAACGAACAAATAAGGAGGAAACCAGTTATTTCAGTGATCTTCCTAGAGTGAGTTAAAGGTCCAGTGTGTAACCTTTAGGAAGATCCATCAGCAGAAATTGAATATAATATGCATAACTATGTTCTGTATCAGTTATAATCACCTGGATGTAGGTATCATTATGTTTTTCTTACCTTAGAATGAGCCCTTTTAATCTAAAGCTACAGGCTTGGTTTAACACTAGATGTGTGTGACGACGAGTGTGAGGAGTAACTGTTTGCTCGAAAAAAACAATGGCAGCTGCTAAAGAGGTTAGTGTAAATGCTGCCAGCATCAGTTAAAACAGAACATGGAAAAGATGTTTTCTCTCTTCTCCCGACTGGCTTCAGTAACTAACTTAATGAATTGTTTTTTTAATAATTAACTACGTTATTGATCTGATTGGTTGAAGTTTACCTGTGATTGACAGATGGTTCATCCAATTACCTGCAAAGTATTTTTTGAAAGAGACTGCCCTTTTCCAAAACAGACAGTTTTGTCTAACAAACCATCTGGTGTAGTCAGGTTAGATTAAAGGTGTTGTATAGACGTACCAACCAACCACTAGGAAAGTTAATACAGGTGTATCAACTTTATTTTTATAAAGTTATTTTTTAGGCCTTTTATCGCCTTTATTTGATAGATACAGCTGAAGATAGACAGGAAAGGGAGACAGAAAGAGGGGATGACACGCAGCAAGGGGCCGCTGCAGCAAGGACTCGGTACATGGGTTGCCAGCTGTACCCACTGAGCTAACCGGGCGCCCCAGGTGTATCAACTTAAGTTCAACTTTGGATAGATATATAGTCAGACATTGCTCACAGCACCTGGAAACATTTTGTATTTTGTATTCATTCTATCACTACTATTCACTATTCTAAGTATAAGCTCACCGGCAGAGTGTGTGTGCTGTCTCTCCAGGTCTGTTGACACTCTTCGTTTGCTGCTGCTGCTTCTGTAGAGAACAAAATGACTAATTATATTGATATATAAAACATTACAAAATGAGAATGCATCAAGGCATGCAAAGCACAGGTCAAAATGTCAAGTATTAAAATAGATTTACTAGTTAAACTTTTTGCCACCTCTATGTCAGTGGATGATGCATTTTTATTTTTGTGAAACAAGGTCATTAAAGATGTTCTTTAAATCAGATCAGATATATATATATGTATATCCATCCATAGAGAGAGAGAGAGAGAGAGAGAGAAAGAGAGAGAGAGAGTGTGTGTAAAGTGGTCACAGGCTTCCACTTCACCAGAAGCACATAGCAGGATATTGGGTTTGCAGAGGGAGGGATGTACGACAACGATGATGACGTGCGGGATCTCTCTCGGTAGATGATATGGACGGAGTCCAACAGCCAGCAGTTCAGCATCCGGGCCACAGAGCTGTTCGCTCTCGGTACAATCCCGGTCCGCCCGGATGGTGTGGAAGCCATCGACAGATACTTTCTTGTCCGTAATGTCCCTGTGCAGCCATGTCGCGGTGAAACACATCAGACTCCTGGTACTCTGCGTGGCTCCGCGTTAATGCCGTTAGCTCGTATATTTTGTTGCTAGCAGACCGTACATTCACCATAACAAGAGAGGGGAGACTCGGCTTAAATCTTCTCCTTCTCCATAAGCCCGTCCCGTCTCGACCCTCCTCTGCATCCCCACTGTGTTTTTCTCCAGAGTTCAGGTGGTACACCAAGCTGGCCAGAATTAGCGCGATCAGCTGTTCTCCGGAGTAAACAACGGCAGCGTGTCACGGTGGAAGCGGCATTAAAACACGAAAAAAACCACAAAAACTCTCTCAAACATCGTTAGAAAGGGCAGGACTTCATAGAGTTACAGTGAAAAAATAAGAACGAACAAAAATTTAATATAAGTTAAGAAGTAAAAAAAAAAAAAAGCAGACTGGAGCAATTTAGATACATTTTGAGCATTTCTTTAGATCATCTTCAGTTCATGGCTCACTTTTTTTTTTTTTATCAGGGGCCCTGGCTTATCAAAGTTGTGATACCCATTATCACATCATTTGCCAAACCTTTAATATAATCAGCCCAACAACTTATATGTGTGTTCCTGCTTTATGGAAGGAGGAAATCAGCACAACAACAACAACAACAATGGGCACATACTCAGTGCTGCTTTAAAAGGCCAAAGTTACATCCCCAAACAACAAACGACAACAAACAGCACAGAAAATGTGCCAAAACTGAGAGCTGTGGTGTCTAAGAGCTGAGAGGGAGACAACATCACTCAGTGAGTCAGTAGGACCAGATGAGTCAGTAATATTTCTGGTTAAAATAATTGAGGGGTTAAATGGAAAGCTTCTCCTTGACCTAACCATCCAGCCTGGAAAGTGCTGAAACACTGAATACATCAGAGCCCCCACTCTGACTGTCTGTTTAGTTAATTTATGGTAACTGTAACCTATGATGTTTTGGCTTCTGCTCACTTCTTTGGCTTCTTTGACTGCAAGGAGCATCAGATTTATTTTGTTGGTTACTGACTTATCTCAGCCTTATCAGAGAGGTTCAGAGAAGCATAGAGGTTCGGATAGAAGTAGTGATGGGGATTCCAGCTCGTTTTAGTGAGCAAGATCATTCTGCTCAGCTCAGCAATAAGAGTTAGCTCTTTTGGCTCCTAAACAAGTCCTAATTTAGTACTTCTGGCTTTTATAATTCAGCCAAATTGAGCAACGTTTTGACCTAGCCAGATCGACAGGGTGGGAGAGGAAGAGAGCTGGATAGCTTGGACTTAAGGCTGCTCATGGTTAATGTTTGGTCTGGACGAAATGGGACTTGCAAAAGAACAGTAAATCAGATACTGTTGGGCCCACATCCATACAGAGACCTGCTCCATCAAAATCTTCAATAGCTGGACCATCTTCTGAGCTGACAGAGTGCACGTCAGATAAGAGGAGGCAGACTAGATGATGTTTAGTGCTCAAACATAGTCAACGTGGATGGACACTATGGACTCTTTTTATGTGAAGATGGAACTTTATTATCATCACTATCATGTGTATGTATATAAATACATGTACATTGTTTTATTTAACTTATTTTATATATTACTTTAATATCAAATTAACTATCTTTTTTTGCATATGTGGCATGAAGGGGCTGCAAACTTAATCTTAGACGTACAACCTTGTGCTACATTTGTCTACCTGCACAACATAATTTTCTGTTCCTGAGTATGATGAGTCTGGATATTTTTGTTTTCTTGTGGTAATGGGACGATGACAAGCTGTGTAACTTGACAAATGCTGTAATTACCATCATTATGAACACAGGCCCAGGTTTGACTCAACCACAGGATGTCATTGCTGTGAGACAACAGTGTTAACCACTGAACTCCTGCAGCCTACTCCTTCAAACATACACACAGCAGGTCTAATCTAACTATTAATACAAGATGATGATGTTCAAACAAATGTAGTCAGCTGAGGTCTGTTAATGTTATTGGTATGAGTTGGCCGAAAAACAAAATATAACTTCTTTGTTATTGTCTGGTTTACATACTGGAGTCAGTGCTACTTCTTCTAAGACAAATGTTTTTTAATGTTTGAAAAGAGTGTCTATTTATTGTTCAAAATCAATGTATTTTGTCTATTTTTCGGTTATATTAATTAAAATTAAATCTAAAACAACAGACTACTGGCTAAGATAACCATGTATATTAAGACTGTAATGTGCATGGAGTTACACATCACTTCTTTGTTTTGATATCGCCATTATATATCGGCCATCCAGACCACTGAAAAACCCATGTGGGTTGACCTCTACTTATCACTTTTAAAAAACAAAAAAACAAACAAAGAAACAACCTGCACGCTTCTGGTAACCACTGCATTTCTCTAACCTTCTGTTGTTTCTCTTTTGTTTTCCCACTGCCAAGCTGTGTGCATCTTTCTTCCTCCCCTCTTCTCTGTCTTCTCCCTAGTTTTCTCCTGCTCCTCTCTTTTCACTCAAGCTTGTCTGTGCTGGACCATCAGCTGACCCGGGACCTCTCTCTGTCTGTCTTCTGGCTGTTCGTGTATCTGGATCATCGTTCTCCTGGAGATTCAGTCTCTCCTTTTCCCTCCCTAGTTTCTGTGACAGTGCTGTGCTGCCTCTCTGTTTGCATAGTCTTTCCTCTTTAATATATATTTGTTCTGTACAAATTAAATCTATATCATGTCTGTCCTGGAAGAGAGATCCCCCCTCTGCAGCTCTTCCTGAGGTTTCTTCCATTTTTTGGGAAGTTGTTTTCTTATCTGAATCGAGGGTCTAAGGCTAGAGGGTATACTGTACTGATTGATAAAATTTTAGATTTTTGATATTGGACTATATAAATAACATCACTTTTTAATAAAGAAAAAGACTGTTTAATACACTACTAATGTAACGTGACTTAAATTGGTCACTTCTTTCTATAAAAGTTAGCTAGGTTTACTTTAACTTGAACGCAACCAGACAGGACCTTAATGACAAGCAACTGCATCTGTTTTATCTGAATCTTTTCATGTAGAAACACAAATGCGATTTGCTTTGTACAAACTGACTTTTTAAGTAGACCACCAACACAGGCTTTGAGTTTAAATAAAAGCAAATAATTTGTCAAAAAGCCTGAATTAGATATCTTCCCTAAATTATTCAGCTTAAGTAAAGACAGGGGTTAACATGCAAGAGAGAAAGATGGATGGAGAATAGGAACCAGAATTTCTGTACTGGGACTGCTGGTGATTTGTTAAAAAACATTCTGTAACAGGTAGGACAGTTATTGATTTCACGTGGTTACCTGTCTGGAATGTGTCCTCCACTGTGTCTCTTTCTTTCCTTGCTCCCCCTTCACTTTTTATCTTCTTTTGCATCTCCTTCCATCCATCCACTGTATCCAGAGTGCCTGAGTCTTTATCCAGCCCTTCAAACACACCCTCCTCATTATCCATAGCAACAGACTCCTGACCTTTGTCCTGTAATGTGGCAGTGCAAGCTTCGAGAGGGATGGCAGGAACAAGCTTCATGTCGGCTGGGCATAACTGGTATTCGCCTGTTTCCACATTCACAGGGGCAGTCGGTTCTTTTGGACTGGGATCAGCTATTGGAGTCAAGTCACAGGGGGTAACAGGAAGTGTTGACCCGCAAAGAAATGGAACAGTGGGACTCTCCTCTTTGTGTGGTTTTTTAACCTGGCCATCAAGCTGAGGATCATTCTCATGCTCTTGTATCCCACTCTCTTTGTGACAGAAAGACTGATTTTGGGGGTCTCTACAGACTGCTGGTCTGGGATTCTCCTCAGAATCAAGACAGTATGTGTCAGAAGCTTCTGGCTGCTGCCCTGTGTCTACAACAGGACAGGAGGGTTGGCTTTCTTCTTGCAGCTGGATTTTTGTCTGCCCATGACCTTGGCTGACTACCACGGTTGTAATCATTTCATTTGCATCCGGCAAAGGTATCATATTAACTTGCAGTAGACTGTCTTCTTTAGGTAGTGAACATAATGTAAAGACTTTGTCGAGTTGAGTTAAACTAGGTGTATCTGCAAGTACTGACAGGTCAAGGTGAGCCTGCTGGTTGCTACTTGGCCATGCTGCTGGTAGCTTCTCTGTCTCAGTGTTACACTCCTCTGATAGTATTTCAACATAAACTTGTTCTCTGGAGGCGAACTGATCAGTAGGTTCAATGTGTGAAAGCTCTATATGTTGATTTTCTGTCTCAGCTAACAGTTGACAATTCTCGTCCATCAGCTGTGCAGACAGTTGTGTGGATTGAACAGTGCTAAGTAAATTGTCTGCCAGCTGGTTTAATGTATCAGTTGGTACTTTGCCATCCTGTGCTAATGGTTGATAAAATGCAGTTTCTCTGCTAGCAGACTCTCGTCTTTCAGACTGATTGTCTGCTAACTGATGTCTCAATTCTATGCTGATGGCTGAAGCTATTGCTACCGCTACAACTGCTACCGCTGTGGCAACCAAGTCTTCATTGTAGTTCTGTTCTTTTTCACTGTCTATGGAAGATAACATCTTGCCATGTGTCACCCTACTGTCATTTTCTTCACTCATCCAATTTCCTTCCTTACCCGCTTCCTCTTCACCAACCCACAACTCATTTTTCTTTTCCTCCTTGTGCTGCTGATCTCTCAGCATCTCAGAGGCCGAACAATGCTCTAAATATTCCCTCTGAGTTGTCTCAGCCCTTCCTTCCCCTTTCTGAAGTGGTGATACATCCGCAGTACCTTCAAATGGAAGACCCTCAGCTTCTGTAGAATGCACAGATTCCATAAATCCTTCAGGTCTTCCCATTGGATCCACAGGCTGTACTGGTTTGTCCAAGTCCACATATTGTTCATGTTGTATATTTTGTTCAGGAAATTCAATGAGAAACAAGTCCTGTGTGAATTCTGTAGAACCTGAATGTTTGACAGGAAGTTCCTTTGGACAGTTCAATTCAACTAAACCTGTCCGGTCACCGGAAGCTACAACTTCACCAGCAACTGCCAAATCCTCATTTTCTGACAATGCCTTTGACTCTACATTATGCATTGTTTGTTGGACTGGACAGGTAATCCCCTTAAATTCCAGTTCTGTAGGGTGTACTTCCTTTATTATTAGTTGCACAGTTGTAATTCCCTCTGTATCTGCCTTCCTGATGTCAATTTCACCAAGTTCTGAAGCAATGACCGTAGAATGTAGGTTAAAGTCATCAGGTCCATGAAATTTCATGCTTGCGTCCTCCTTTATTTCTAATGTCTGTGAAGCTGTAACTTCAGTCAGATCTGTTCTTCCATCGTCTGTTGGACTGAAGTCCGGAGTAGTATAACTAGGATCCGAGTTTGTAACGACACAGTCAAATCCATGAGTGTCCCTGCTCTGACTCTCTGTCTGGCTGGGTAAATGCATGGCATCCTTGTCAGCTTCCTCTCTCTGGATTAGCTCAGAAGCACCGGGAGACTGGACATCTGCCCTTCCTGTTTTATCCTTGGCTTCTGATTCTGTCTCTGACAGAGCATTCAGGTTTGTTTCTTCTTCTCTTTGTGTCTGTATCTCTGTATGACTCTGGGACTCTACACTTGAGCCAGAGCTAAGCTTAGCCTCTGTCCCGCCTCTCTTACCCCTCTTCTTCCTCCTCTTTTTTCTGCCATTTGCTCCTTTTTCTTCACTCCCTTCCTTCTCTTTTCCTCCCTCTTCAATGCCCACTGTTTCTGAACTCTTTTTGCTGTAAGTTGTCTCTCTGTTATTGACCTCCTCTCTGTCTCCCTCCAGCCCTCCCTCCTTCCAATCTGGCCCTACTTCCTTTTCTCGCTGTGATCCTTGTACTTCCCGTCTTTGTGCACCAGGCCCATGTGACAGTGCTGGCTGTGTTCCAGCAGCATGTGGCTGACTGAGAGCCGCAGACAGTTGATGAGAACTAAGACTCTGTTCTAACAGCTGTGGAGAACTAAGACCAGAAGCTTGGAATGAGCTCAGATCACATTCTTTCTGCTCTCTCATTCCCTGCTGCAGATGTCTTCTCTGATCCATTGTGTCACCATCATACCAAACTGACTGAGAGTTCAGTTCCTTTCTGTTCCAATCTTCACTGACACTCTGGTCTATGTTTTTATCCTGATACCAGACAGTTTTTGCTAATGTTTCTTGTCCATGTGGGGGTGATCCCATTCTGCTTCCAATGCGACCACCATCCCGCCACAGCCCTTTCTTGGATTTTCTTTCTGTGTCTGGGGACTGTGGGCTGGTCCTCCTGCCAGGGTGAGGACTTTTGCTGATGGTGCCAGGTTGGCTTGGCTCCTCTGGGTCTGATTGGCTTTCCTGGGGATCCTGTGATTGCTCCTGACCCATGGTTACTGAAAAAAGGGAGGAGTAGATTAAGGACTGCAAAAGAAACAATTGTTTTCTTTGAAGCTCCACTCCAAACACATTTTAAAGTATGTAAAAATATATGCTACTATTAATATTTTGTTAACCATGGTTTTCCCACAAAAAAGAAAACAAACTAACAAACAAACCAACCATAAAAAGGGTCTATAAGAACATCTACTCTTACTCCCTCATTGACAGATTCTGCATGAGAGATTCAGCCAAAGCCTACATGTTTGAACCTCAGTCAGACACAGACTCAGATGAAGACTCTGCCTTGCATTGGCAAACAGCTGTCGTATCAGAATTGTAAGTGTAATTAGCATCTTTTATTTGTTTATGTTGCTTGTTATCTTGCAACTTGCAGTGGCTGGTACTGTGTTAGTGGTTGTGAAACCTGTAATATCTGCTACAATGTTATAATGTGTTCACATTGTAGTAGATAGTGGAAGGAAGCTTCAGGGTCCGGTTTACATCCATGTTCTCTCTACCATGTTTGCAGTCAAAAATTTCAGTCCACTCTGCGCTTGAGGTTTCATGTTTCTTTGTCTGTAGAATTTGCTAGACAGCAATTGGCTTTCAAATATGTTACATACCAAATCTAGCTTGCCCATGGTATATCTGAATCTCAGTTTTTAGGGAAGCATACAGACATCTGCCCTTTTAGTAGAGGAAGGTGAAAAAAACCTCTCAGTGACAAATCTTACACAAATACAAGTCAGTAAAGTCAAGGTCTGACATTTTAGAGGACATAAACAGACATTTATGGGAATGAAGGGGATCTTTAAGGGCGTTTTCACACATACCTCATTTGGTCCGGACCTTCGGACTTTTCAGTTTGGTCCGAACCAAAATTGTAGGTGAGAAAGGTGCCACGGACCACGGTCTGGATCAAAAGACCAAAATTTGGTCCGAACTAAAGAGGTGGTCTCGGTCCGGATCAAACTGAACCATGGTTCGGTTCGTTTACAGTATGAAAACACTTTTTGGATGGTTCAGACATCGGACCAATTACAGGAAGTTAGGCATACGTACCATAGAAGAAGAAGAAGAAAAATGGAAGAAAACCCCCGCTAGAACGAGCAAAAATGAGTCGTGGAAGTACGTGGGGAGAGGAGGAGATTATATGTTTATGTTGGTAGTAATACCATAATAACGCAATCGGGATTTGCTCATTCATTTTCATTCATACGGAAGACTACCCGCCAAAATGACAACACGCCAACGTCAGATGCATGCCCGTCTACTCACCAATCAAAGGCAGACGCAACACACGTACGTGGTGACAACGCGCCGTAGGTATGTCATGGAAAGTTCTTTAGTGCGCTAGCAAAATTACTATGTGAAACCGAAAATAACGGGATCAAATGTATACAATGTAATTAAACACAAACGTTGGTCCGGACTTTTAGGTGTGAAAACGCCCTAAAAGACAATTCTGGTCAAAACAGCTTGGCTCTTATATTTATAGTTCTGGTAATCATTTATAAGTTACTACTAATATTTGTTTATAGATGAGATGAGAGGTTGTCAATAAATCGACAGTTCCATAATAATCCATCACTGCGCTGAAAAACTGTGTAAACACAATTACGGTAAGTAATAAAGATCAAAGTTTTACAGCCCACATCTTTGCTGTTTTGGTTCACAGGCAGCTGTTCTCAGTTCAATAGTCACAATACCCCCATTGTACACTGTCTGTTTGCTGTTTGCTGCTGAACAGGTACAGTTGGAGACTTACTGAGAACATTGTGGGGCTTTAAGCAGCTAAAGAGTCAGATATTTCCCTCAGGGGTTAGTGACCAAAGACAGAGCTAAAAGAGAATAAACTGGCACAAACATGACACAGAGCATTCATCTAAATGATAAAGTTGCTCTGTCTCAGCTGGTTATGTAAATAGGCAATAGGCCTTGTTTCTAGTAGAAGAAACAAACACTGGCTCTAGATGGGGCTTTTTGCATTTTTCTCCTACAGACTTGGAAGGGGAGGGTTGGGCAAGTTGGTTTGCAGTCTCACCACTAAATGTCACAAAATTCTACACAGTGGTCCATTAAATAACTAATTTTCACCTTGGATATAATAGTTAATGAACAGCCAACAGTGACAACCAAAAAACTACCCGTCAGTGTGAGTGTGTGAGTGGTCCTGTACTTGCTCTTTTGTCTGCCCAGCCAATCTGTTTCTCAAATCACAAGTTGATTTATTTAGGTAAAAGAGCCTCCAATTACATTCAACAGTAGGTTTGTGTGGTTGAATCTCTACTATTTCAAATAAGCAACTTTTCATTTGATCAAAACGTTAAATTTTTTTAATCATTTGCCCCTATTCATCGAGTAAATCTAACTCTTTGAGTACTGTGATAAACTTACCTGTCCTCTCTGCAGCTGATTCCAAACCTAAGTTAAAGTTAGCTTCTTTTGCAGGGAGACTTTCAGTGTCTCCCTGCTCTGTCTCTGTCACAGTTTCTGTCTCTACAACTCGCTCACATATGAGCAGGTCAACTTCCCACTTCTCTCCTTCCTGTTTTTCTACGACGGTGGTGGTAGGCAAGGCAACTGCCTTCCTGCTAGCACACTTCCCATCACGAGCTGGTGCAAACACTGGCTTTATGGATGATGGGGTCTTTTCCGTCTCGGGAGAACAGTGAGTTTTTGTAGCTCTTCCATCACCAATCACAGATGCCACTGCTGGTTCTGTGGGTGAAATTGTTACATCTGTCTCTGTTCTACTTCCTGTTGTCTTTGTGGCTCTCTGTGCAGTCCCTCTACTGGCCTCTGGGGTGCTTCTGTTATTTCTCTTTTTGTTTTTCCTGTTACGGCCAGCAGGAGAGTTAGCTGCTGGTTTGCCCTTCTCTTTTGCCCCAGCTTCCTGGCTCTGACAAAGACTGTTACAAGATGTATGAGTGACAACAGTAGAGTCCTCCCCTTGTGTTCTCTCCTCCAATAACGGCGGACTTCCCTGTTCCTTTGCTGTTGTGGTACAGTTCTCGGTGGTTACCATAGCTAGGACTGCATCATGCTTCCTCTCTGGTTGGCTGTTAGAGCAGGGCTGCAGTCCACAGGCAGGGTTTGCCAGCTCATGATCGATGAACAGGGATGTGGAGGCATGTGTCGGTGCAATGGTACTAAGTAAATCTGAGTTTCCCTGCAAGAAGGAAGACAAATCCAAATTAAATCAAATTAATTGCATCAGAGGTATGGCCTATATTTACGCAAGATAATTTTAATTATTTTTTTAAAGTATATTTTTGGGGGCTTTTATTGCCTTTATTACAGTGACAGCTGAAGATAGACAGGAAAGGGGGGCAGAGAGAGGGGATGACACGCAGCGAGGGGCCACAGGTCGGATTCGAACCCTGGGCCACTGCAGCAAGGACTCAGCCTTGGTACATGGGTCGCCAGCTCTACCCACTGAGCTATCCAGGCGCCCACGCAAGATCATTTTATAACTGTGGTGACAAGTAAGGGATCAGCATGTGAATGCTGGGTTAAACAGAGGACTGTCGGATGTTTCAGCTAAGTGTGAACCAGTCGTGATGTCACACATTTGTTTGTGGAGACCCTTTTTCAAGCCTTGAGTTTAGTTCCTTGAGTTGATCCATATTTCATCAGCACTGCCTAGTTTGACAGTTTGATCTGAGTTTTATGTGTTGAGCTGGACGGACTCACTGAGAATGACTTGTTAATCACAAAGTAGACCACCCTAAAGCATAACCTGCTTTATCATCTATTTTATTCTAAATGGGACCATAATTTACTAAATGAACATCACGCTGTATGGAAGAATACTTGAAACTAGAGATTGAGACCATAAACTCATTAGGGAACTGTTTATTAAGCTAATAAATCAGCTGGGAAAAAACAAACAACAGTACTTCTTGCAAAAGTATTATTGTAAATATTTAAAGAAATACTGAATAAATTGACTCCTTATATTCTTATCTAGTTTTGTGTTACTCCCCTCTCCCTAGGCCAGTGGTTCCCAACCTTTTTCCATAAGGCACCCCTTTTCTAATATTGAGTAAACTGAAATATTTAGTCAGTGACATATTTTTGGATATTTCATATTATAATGCATATATAACATATCAGTAACAGTACAGAACAACTGATAAACTGTCCAATGAACCCAAATAGTGAACGCAAGAACATAGCAATTTTTGACACAATTCTCTATATGTGTTGTGTATTTTCTTACATTTTAACAATCGAACACATTTAATAGGCTCTCAGTTTTCTTCTCCCTGACACTTGGCCATTGTTCTATTAGTTAGCTTTTTAGAAGGATCTATTGACAGAAATGAAATATAATATTAATAGGTATGTCTTCATTAGTGTATAATTACCTGAATATAAGAATCGTTGTGTTTTTGTTACCTTAGAATGAGGTGTTTTTATCTACAGACGCAGTCTGTGGTCGCTGCCATGTTTAACTGTATATTAATAAAAAGTTGTTTTAAGTTTAAAAGTTACACCTGATAAAATCAGGATGGCCTTGCAACCCCCCATGAAGTTTTAGTGACCCCCAGGGTGGGAATCAGTGCCCTGATCAACTTGGGTTCATAACAGCAAAAAAGAAGAAGATTTCATAAACATAAATGTCTCTCGTGTACAATGTTTATTGCTACTGAGAAAAGACAAACAAACAAACATTCAGATGCTGTCAGCTCACCTTTGTGTTTCTGTGTAGATGAATAAGTCTCCTCAGCTCTGTCAGCTCCTCCTGTAAGCAGCAGCCTTCACTGCTCTGTGTCTCCGCCCCCACCTCCCTCTCATTGAGGCTAGGGAAAGTTAGGGTGTAGGTACCAAGACTTGCATGGTGCTGAAACACTCGGCCTTCTGGGTAAAAGTGCAGCTGCTGCTTTGGTTCCACTTGGAGATTTGGAGATGTCTCACATCTGCAAAGTCACAAAATAATACATCTGACAATCCTTTGACCTGTACAAAACAAATTGCACTTACAATATTTTTTTCGTGCTTTCTCTCCTTTTTATTACGCAAACAAACATGGCCATGTAATTTACTCTCTAATCCTTTCAATCGTGTAGAAAAAAGATTCAGACACTGACAAGTAGCTTTCAAAGAAAAGCGCCTCCAGGATTCTTACTTTTGCGCTTTGTGAGTCAGTGGAAGGAGGGATCATGCCTGCAGAGCGTGCAAGAGGAGGAATATAATGATGACTGTTTTTGTCTTGATCTTAATACAAACTAAGTCTCAAAATGACCTCAAAACTACCACTGTGATAGAAACAGAAGGCAGTGCGACTGTCTCAGTGAGACTATTATCTCATACTCAACTCATATGAAAATGCAATCCATAATACATTGTGCTAATTGGAAATGAGGAGGAATAATGACACCAGCCGAGTGCCGTGGGTGAAGCCATGGGGTGCTGGGTTTTTTTAACTGGAACTATAAGCAGGTATTTTCACATCAAAGACAACAAAGAAAAAAATAATTAAAAAGTTAGGGTAAAAAATTTGACTCCTATAGGCTGATATTGATTGGCAGATTGTTAATATGAAAACCAAACCATCACCTAAGTGTTTGGTTTAAGAGTGGAAAGCAAACAGCCAGCAGAAAGGAGTACACTGAATAGCTGTTTCGTTCTATTTATTACTTGTAGGCTACATACCAGTGTTTTGTAATGTTTAAATGCTTTTAATAAAGAAGTGTATGTTGAATTACATGGGATTTATCGTTTTGTGTTCGTTTTTTACCATAGTATTGAATTGTGAGAATCATGGAACCACTGCAACCCTTTTCACCACTATTTTCACATCTAACTCTGTAAAAACTTGGTTTGGTTTGAGTTTGTTTCGACCAAACCAGAGATATTTGGAAACGCTGTAGACGGACTAACAAAGTTGAGTTTTATTTCTGTTCCGTTTTTATGGTCTGAGATGCTGGTTCTCTAGTGCAAAAAAAAATCCAGTGACAAGTGAATTTCGTATATATATATATATATATATATATATATATATATATATATATATATATATATATATATATATATATAACCTTTAACCAGGTAAGTCCCATTGAGATTACAAAATCTCTTTCCCAAGGCAGCCCTGGCTGAAAATAGCAGCAATACAGTGTTTTAAACAACATACACGCAAACATTAAAAAACATAAAACAAAACAAAGTAAAATAATAAATAAAGCTGCAAGCAGCGTTGGGCGAGACCTCGTCATCAACCCACTCTGACCAACTTTGACAGCACACCACGGACACACCCTTCAATGTACAGTCACGCATAGACAACGTTAAATCAGCAACATCTTTTTACTGTACTGACCAAATTTGAAGCAGATCCGATAAATTATCTAGGAGGAGTTCGTTCAACGCAAAAAAACGCTGAAAGTCACCGGGAAATTTAACATGGCCAAATTTTACGAGTTTTTGTATATGTTAAGGGGGGCAAAAACGCAGTCAAAGGCACTAAAAATAATAATAGCAAACAATAATAAGAAACATAGTAAATACAATCCCGGCTGTCGCTGGCTCGGTCCCTAACAAATCAATATTAATCAATAAGGTCTGGAAGAAATTCTAACGTATATGATAAATCCTAATACACACTCAATAACTAGCCAGTGTGACACAAACACAGCCCACATCATATCATTCACCCAGACTCCTCTCCCACATACACATTATAAACAGTGTTGGGGGTAACGCGTTACCATAGTATATTATGTTTAGGCAGTAACGGAGTAATATAACGCATTACAAACTATATTTTGGTAATATTATTACAGTTACTGAGTCCGGTAACGCGTTACAATCCGAGCTGTCGCACAGGCGGAGGTTTCAAAAAAACAACCCAGGCGCAACAGCTGTAAATAAAGAGGAGAAGAAGACGGTTTTAGTATGTCGTGGAGGATGCGCTGCCTCTTTCTACAGCTGAGTTGCCGGCGTTTCAAAAGCTTGTTAGCAAAATCCCTGTTCGATCAAGTGACAAGATGCAATATAGACCTCATTAGACTTTAATGTTGCCCCCCCCACTATATTTATGAGGAACTACAGTTAATTGAGGACTATTCGGCATGACAAAATATTGCGCGCCTTCATTTTGTAATGCCTTTTCCTAAATGTTTATTTTGGTGAAACTAAAAAGTAATGAGTAACTTATTACTCTACACAGAAGGTAATATTGTAAGGAAACGTATTACTTTCAAATGCAAGTAACTAGTAATATGAAATATATTACAGTTTGGAAGTAACTTGCCCACCACTGATTATAAATCAATGTATACTAGGGATGCTCGATATTGGCTTTTCTGCCGATATCCGATATTGTCCAACTCTCAATTTCCGATGCAGGCTTTTTACACCAAAACTGTTAGGTAACAACATAACATATCTCCTATTGTGGAATTAACAAATTATGCCTAATTTTATTGTGATGCCCCACTGGATGCATACATAAATGCAACATGGCTTTCCAAATGTAAGTAAGAGAACAACTTCAACATTTATTGTATTAATACTGAAAAGAGTGTTAATGCTAATAGCTATCTACGCGCTAATCGCTAGCTAAGCGCTAGCTTTGGTTAATGTTTTTAATTGTATTATGCACCTGAAGGAGTGCTAATGTAAATTCTAAGCCAATTGTTAGTTTGGTTAAGGAACAGCTCATAGCAGGGTAAAATATTTAAGGTGCATTGCACTTATTTTGTGTTAATATTAAAATCATTCAGCTTTAAATTGTTTGCTTGTTAGCCACGGTTAGCAACCAACCAGTCTAGCGTGTTGTTGTTGTTGTTATACGTCATCTAGTGCGCGCTGGTAAACGTCCCATGCTGCGTTCATGCAGACTCGGAAATGCTGAAGCCTACAGAACAAACGGGTTATAAAAACCCGATATCGATAATTCCCGATATTAAATTTTTTTGTGAATATTGATAATATCGGCCCTCCGATATTATCAGACATCCCTAATGTATACATTAATACATTATTAAAAGGCACACTATGCAAGATTTTTACCTTAATACAACAGCTTCGAAGTCATTTCGATGGTAAACGAACTCGCAGTATAGCGAATCATCCCAATAGCAGAGCCCGTCTACGGAGAGCTTGGCCACTCCCTATTAAGTCCCATTATACCAAATTTTGGTTGCAGTTCCACCAGAGTTCCACGGGGGGCGATAGCCCATTAGTTCAAAATGAATGGGAGTCTATTGAGCTAGACGGCTAAATTTGTCTCTTTCACCTGATTGTCGTTGAGAAATCTCAGATTTGATTGTAGTTTTTGCAAGTTCAACGTTATAGGTTGAAAGTTGAATGAACGCGTACTTATGTCCTTTCGATTTCTTACAGGTTGAGTTGTTGTTGCCCATAACACGCTAGCATTCTGCTAATAAACGCTGATTGGTCAGTGAAGGACTGATTACGACCAGAGATCCCGGTGTTTAAAACAGAAAAACAAAAACTCTTTCGAGCACGTGTATTGACACGGAGAGCCTAACCTGTGTCAGCTGTGTTGTCGATGCCTCGAGAGAAAAGGAAGTGCAGGGCGCGGAAGCACAAAGTGACTCAAGGCAAGTAAAGCGGTATCTCTGGCCGTACGATGTGTATGATGTCAATGTATACTTCAAGGCTGGATTACTGCAACTCTTTAGTATCAGGTTGCCCCAATAAGTCCATTAAAACGCTCCAATTAATTCAGAACGCTGCAGCACGAGTACTGACAGGAACTAGGAAAAGAGATCACATGTCTCCTGTACTAGCTTCTCTGCATTGGCTCCCTGTAAAATTTAGAATAGAATTTAAAATCCTCCTCCTCACCTATAAAGCTCTTCATAGTCAGGCCCCTTCATATCTTAAAGAGCTCATAGTACCCTATTACCCCACTAGAACACTACGTTCTCTGAATGCTGGGCTACCTGTGGTTCCTATAGTCTCCAAAAGTAGAACAGGAGCCAAAGCCTTCAGTTACCAAGCTCCTCTCCTGTGGAACCAGCTTCCAGTTGTGGTTCCGGAGGCAGACACCCTCACCACATTTAAGAGAAGGCTTAAGACATTCCTTTTGATAAAGCTTACAGTAAGGGTTGGCTCAGGTGAGTCCTGAACCATCCCTTAGTTATGCTGCTATAGGCCTAGACTATCGGGGGATTTCCCATGGTGCACTGAGCTCCTCTCTTCCTCTCTCTTTCTGCACTCATTCATGTCCCATTAACGCATGTTACTAACTTCACTTCTTCCCCGGAGTTCTTGTGCTTTCTCGTCTCGCAGGTTCTCATGGATCCTGGTGGAGCCTCCTGCCATGGTCCTGCTTGACTGCCATTGCTAATATCACTGATATTAGTGTTGCTATTATTATTATTATTATTATTATTATTATTATTATTATTATAAGTATTATTATTGCTACGGTTACTGTTGTTGCTGTTGTCACTGCTCATTGTCCCCGATCGTTGCTGTTATCATGTTCATCATCATCAGTCACTATTAGTATAGTTGTTGTGTCTGTCTGTCTGTCTGTCTGTCTGTCTGTCTGTCTGTCTGTCTGTCTGTCTGTCTGTCTGTCTGTCTGTCTGTCTGTCTGTCTGTCTGTCTGTCTCTCTCTCTCTCTCTCTCTCTCTCTCTCTCTCTCTCTCTCTCTCTCTCTCTCTCTCTCACTACTCACTCCTCACTCACTCACTCACTCCTCACTCACTCACTCACCCCAACTGGTCGAGGCAGACGACCACCCACCTAGAGCCGAAGGGTCTGTCCTAGGTTTCTGCCTTTTAACAGGCAGTTTTTCCTTGCCCCCGTTGCCAAGTGCTTGCTCATGGTGGTACTGTTGGGTCTCTGTAAATGTTATAAGGAGTTCGGTCTAGACCTGCTCTATTTGAAAAGTGTCCTGAGATAACTTCTGTTATGAATTGCCGCTATACAAATAAAATTGAATTGAATTGAATTGAATGTTAAACATGGACAACATTGAATTAACTTTTTGCACATTAACCAGAGACGTTTCAAGCACCAGTTTAATGACTAATGACTGATGAGTTTGGACACTCTGAGGGAGAAGTTGTATAGTTGGCCACTCTGTGTGGCATCCCGACAGAATAAATCTTGCACTTAAAGTACTCCTGTGTTTGACCAGTTAATTGTGAGTGGAGGACATTGTCCAAGATGGTATGAAGCTTGGACAGCGTCCTCCTCTCTGACACCGCCGTCAAAGAGTCCAACTCCACTCCCACAAAGTCACTAGCCTTGCAGATCAGTTTATTGAGTCTGTTAGCCTCCGCTACCCTTAACCTCCTGCCCCAACAGCAAACAGGATAGCACTGGCCACCAAAGACACATAAAACAATCGTCAGCTTGTTTAGCAGATGTTGGAGGACCACAGCCTCCTCAGAAAATAGAGACAGCTTTGGCCCTTCCTGTAGAGGGTTTGAGTGTTCTTAGCCCAGTCCAGTCCTCAAATCCCAGTCAGGGCTGGTAGGCAAACTGGAGTGGGTCCAAGTAAGGTTTGACCATGGGCCACAGCTGCTCTAGACGCAGTCTCTCCAAGGTCTTTATGATGTGGGCGCTCCAAGGACTTTGCACAAGAACGAGGCCAGATCTCTTCCTCACCACAGGGACCCTTTGGAGACTCAGGTTCAAGTTGAAGAATGGTAAATGGTAAATGAACCTGTACTTGTATAGTGCCTTTGTAGTCTTTCGACCACTCAAAGCACTTTTACACTACATGCCACATTCACCCTAACTACTAACGCATTCATACACATTCACACACCAATGCACAGCAACAGACACATTCCTTGACCGTAATGTGACCAGGATTGCACATCTGTTATTATCTAGAACAGCTGGCGACTCAAAGGCACTTGCTTGCTGCCACCGCAGTTTGTGGAGCTTCTCTCTTCTGCTTTGGTGAGCGAGACTATCGTGACTCACTGGGCCAGTCTAGTTTGTAGAGCCGATTAGCACAGCGTTAGCATTGAACAGACTGAGAATGATAAAGCCAAACAAATACAGAGATGGGTATGTCTTCCTGCAAGGCATACTGGGTAGTCAGCAAGTCAGTTTAGTCTTTCCTGAGAGAGCAGGAAGAACAGTGAGGATATAATCCCTTCTTTCTATGAGGAGGTGATTTGCCATCTCCACTGTCACATGAGCTCCTCAAGACACACACACACACACACACACACACACACACACACACACACACACACACACACACACACACACACACACACACACACACACACACACACACACACACACACACACACACACACAAATACATGCAGTAGAGGTTTGGGTTTTATGTATTTGTTAATATTCTGTCCTTACAGTGGACAAAGAGGAAAACCTATGGAATGTCCAAAATGATAGGAGTTCATCCTCTGGGGAGCATGACTCTCAGTTATTACATGGGGGGTCACCAAAAACAATCATGCAGTTACCTGTAATTTCCCAAATTTAATTTATTCTCCCTCTTACAAACATTAGTTCTGTGGTTGGGTCTCACATTTAATTTGCCCTCATCTCCAACGGACACATTTCTGTAACACAATCACCCACATTGACACTTCCATGGCTGTTTCATGATCCTTCCTACAGCTGCTACAGCTCTGTTCTTATAATGTTCATTCTACTGACTCTGAAAGTTGTGCCAAGCTTTGTCACTAGAAGAAGAAAGATCAGACTATTCAGTCAGTCAATCGTTAGTATCAATGTTATACTGTGTATGAATAAATAAATAAATAAATAAAATTAACTAAATGTTCAGGCTCCTTTATGGTTATTCCAACATATTCAGAATCATTACCACAATATCTGTTATCAGCGGCAGCTGTTAATATATATATATATTTAAATAATTATATTAATATCATAAATGTGCAACAACTAGTGACTAGTAACATCTTTAGTTGGGGACAGCCCAAAAAATTATTTTAAATGTATATACACAACATTCACAAATTCGCTAAGGCAAGGCAAGTGAATGTAAGCACACTGCCAGAAATGATCTTAAGAAGTTCAAGTATAAATCTAGGACAATTTTAATAAATGAGACCCCTGGAGTGCATTATGTCACACCGGCACACAGTATGAAGAAGAGCTTCTTCATCCTAACTAACTAAATACAAACATTTAACAAAAACAAAAAGGAGTAAGGTCTAGACCTGCTAGTCCCTTCTGCCATAGCAATGTTCAACAAAACACCTCGGTAGCGGTCATGTGTAAATATTATGTGAATGGAATGTGTGCATAAATGTGTTTTTCCGATTCTAGTAGTTAAGTTGTCTATGTATTTATGTGGCTATAGCTATGTATAGACAATGGCAACAAATGTATCTGTCCATTTATCTATCCTTCAACAGCTCATATTGATTCTAGTGTGGTATCAGCTACTCACTGTGTGAAGAGGTCCACCAGTTTCTGATGTCCTCTGCTCTCTGCCAGACATGCTGGAGTAAGTCCCTGAGCACTGGGCCTCCTTAGCGCTTCCCTGCCTCCTGGCTGCTGCAGGAGGAACGATGCCACTGTCCTCAGACCATGACTGGCTGCCAAGTACAGCAGGCTGGAGAGCTGCTGGCTTTGAGACACAGCTGAAGAAGGAAAAAGAAAAGGTGAGATGGTGGACTCAACTGATCTGCTAGAGCAGAGCGAGGTAGACACCTGCTGGTGGAGACAGAAATGTGAAAAAATCACATGAAGAGTAGGATTATGTCCATAATGCAGTTTACTGGTACTGTTTTATAACTGGTATAAATTAAACTTGAAATAAAATTATTTTTCTTATGTTTTTATTCGCTACTGCAATTGTTCAATATCTTCACTAATCAATCCTTGCATTGAAACCTAGAGCTGATTATTTGTTTTTTTAAAATCAGACTTTATATGATTAGGTTTCAGTTTCATTATTCTAAAGATGAATGTTTGAGTGCAACACAAGCAACAGGATGCTGACTGCACAGTTCACTTAATGTCCACTGGTTTTGTAATCAGTAGTGGTTTATAGAACCTTTAAATGTTAAAATGCTGATTAGTAACAAAGAACCAAAAAAAAAAAGCATTTATCTGGGTAGGACAAGGGGTGGCATACAACAGCTGGTAGTCCTGTAACCTCAGTACTCAGAGTTATAAAGTAACGGGGGGTCACAGTCAAGACTGTTGAACATTCTAACTCACCACTGCAGCTGTCCAGCAGTGTGGGGACCTCATTCCTTGTTTCCTTGTGTGTCTCTGCATTGAGTGTGTTTGTGTTCCTGTGTGTATGTGTGTCTGGTGCTCCAACAGCCAGTGTTAGGTTAACCATCTGTCTGTCCACATCTGTCTGTGTGTGTGCGTGTGAGGGTGCAGTCCTCTGGGGCAGGGTGAGGTGCTTCAGGGCCAAGGCAAGGCTCTGATCCAACTTCTCACACTCTTTCAAAGGAATCTGACAATATAGACAGGTCACACTTGTAACAACACTTGCTTTTCTTCTGTGTCCTCTCTCCCCTTCTAAAAACATTTCTTTGTATGCTGTTATTTAAGTGACATTTCTTACTTCTAGACACAGTCTGATTTCATTCAAATCCAGTATCAAGAATATCAAAACAAAAATCATTCCAAATGCATGAGACAGTTTCAGAGCCCTCAAGCTCTCTCCTACTTACTTGCTCATCATCCAATAGTAAAGCTTCCTGTGGAGCTGTACTTTCAAGCAGGAAGTGGGCCATGTCGAGAGCCAAGTCCTAACCACAACAAACACATTGATGCTGCCATCATTATTGTGAAAAACTCCAACCCATAACAGACAAGTGTGTTGTGCCTTCTAGTGAACTAGTCTAGACTAAAAAGTTTTTCATTATTTAGTTTAAGATTGTAATCAAAACTCTGTGTATCTAAATTACTGTAAACATATCTTTAACATGTCTGTGCTGTAATTTATTGTATATAAGCCAACACCAATATATCTGTGTCAGCAGATATATTAGCCGGCCTAGCTGTATTTTTTACTATGCATATAGTAGTATGTTAGGTTTCTTTGAAGTAGGAACGAAGACAAATGCATGTTGTTCTAAATTGGGCTGGGAAATAAATGATTTAATCCAGCAAGGACAAAAAATGTCCAATCTAATGCCGTGAAAGGACTGTACTGTTACCTGTACAAAGCAGAAGGTCTCCTGTGAGTGTGTGTCCACTGGTCCACCAGGCCGAGCAAAACATAATTTCACCAAGACCTGCTCACACACATTATGGGCTACACACACACACACACACACACACACACACACACACACACACACACACACACACACACACACACACACACACACACACACACACACACACACACACACACACACACACACACACACACACACACACACACACAAAATAAGGGTTTAATAAGATACAAGTGGATTTATTTAGTATTCTACAACACAAGGTTTTATAACAAGATTAAGTAGTAGTTAAGTTATAAATAAAAACATTTTACATGGGGGAGTGTTTAGGATACATTTAGCAGTCTCACAGCCTGGGGGAAGAAGGTGTCTTTAAGTCTGGTGGTACGTGCTGTCTTTTAACATGATATCGCTGATGCTGGATAAATGCGTATCTATAATCTTTTGCGTATGTGTCTTTGCCTATTTTTTCCTTAAATCCTTGGTTTTGCTGACTTTAAGCAGTAGCTCATTATTTGTGCAATCTACATGATTGCTCAATATGCTACAGGGATGTTATTTAGTGGCCATAAATGTGTAAAATGTGTGTAGTACCTGGACACACAGCCTGCAGTGTGACGTGGCTGACTCGCAGTGTGCTGGTCAGATGGTTTTGAGTGGATCCCGAGAATAGAAGATAAAACTCCACTTCCTCCTCTTCTCTCTCAGCCCAACACGCATCATCATCGTTGAGCTCAACACTCAACACACACTCTCCCTGAGAGGAGACACAGAGGCAGTGATATCAATTCTAGGACTGTTGATTTTAGCAAAAAGCCCAAATATGTACAGTGTAGAGAGCTACTTTGACCTCTGTGTTTGGCCCAGTGATACTGATGTTTAGCCTCTAAGGGTAAAAAAATGAGAATTTTTAAAAAAAACTTATTTACAAGGGTTTAAAGGAAATTGTCATCAAAGCACTGAATTATGTGGGACCAGTATTTGAAAACAAACAAGCAAAGAAGAGGTAAGAGAACTTGGCACCTTTGATGAAATGTATTGAGCTCCAGAGATACTTCTTACTTATTCAGTGATTCAAACCAAATTAAAATTTCAGTAAGAATTTTAACTTAATTTCATGTTGCCGTTACCAGACATTTTAAAAAAAAACACACATTTGTAAATTACAGTATTATGGGGAAATTATTTTCTTTATACACAACTGAGAGCTGGGGCTATTGGTGCCCTACTACAGTGGTTCTTCACCTGGCGTCTGGGGACCCTCAGGGGTCCCTGACATTATTTCGGAGAATTGGGGAATGTTTTAATTAGGGATCGAGCACTGAAAGTGCAAGACCCTATTGTTCCTGTTAAAATTATTATTAGGGATCGAGCACTGACCAAGTGCAAGACCCTATTGTTCCTGTTAGAATTATTATTATTATTTGGTGCCTGTTTTACCGCATATTTGACCCCCGCAACATCCTCAAAATGGAATGAAAATTTGCACAAAATTCAAACGTAGCTAAAATATTGATATGACATTGTCCCCGTGCACGGGCGCCGCCAAACGTCTAAGCCACGCCCCCCAGAATCAGCCCCCAAGACACGCAAGGCCCACATGTACGAAAATTGCTACGCATGTGTATCATGATAAAAGAAGCAGAAAAGCCTCTTGGACCCATGCCTCAAAACCCACAGGAAGTCTGCAATTTCAATTTTGTGGTCATTTTGACTTTTTGGGCTTGTATTTGAACAAACTCCTCCTAGGGAATTTATCGGATCTGCTTCAAAAGTGGTCAGTACAGTACGCTGTTCAATTTGTAACTGTACGTTGAAGGGCGTGTCCGTGGCGTGCCGTCAAATTTGGCCATTTTTAAGTCCGTGGTCTTGTATTTGAACAAACAAACTCCTATGGAATTTATCAGATCTGCTTCAAAACTTGACAGTACTCTTGAATAATGTTGCTGATTACAAGTTGTGCTATTTATGACTGTACGTTGAAGAGCGTGTCCGTGGCGTGCCGTCATTTTTGGCATTTCAGGGCTTCTGTTTTAATTAACTCCTCCTACAGGTTCTATTGGATCTACTTCAAAATTGGTCAGTGCAGTCAGTTTTTTTCGTCCAACATTGTGCCCGTGGCGTGGTGTCCCGTGGCATCCAATTTCAAACCTTCGCCATGAAAGAGGGATTCGTCATAACTTCTGCGTACATGATCCGACTGCAACGAAACTTCACATGTCTGATAAGAGTCCCGCCCTGAACACGTCTACATGACAATATTCAGACATAGTGACAGCGCCACCTACTGGCAACAGGAAGCAACCGCTGCGTGGCGATTTTCATGTTGTGGTCCGCGCTTGTTACATCGGCACGTGATGTGGCCGCAGCACACCCCGACGGCATGTGACGCTGCTGCAGCACACCCCGACGCTCGCCGGTTGCGAGATCCCGTTCAACGCTGCTTGCAGCTTTAATTTTTATTATTATTTTATTGACCAGAAGTTAGACTCTGAGAGAATGTATGTAATGACTATTCTGTTCATAGGTTTCACACTCCTCACTGTTAATATACAGTATAAACTCGTATAAACACTAATAAATTATCAGATGGGGATCCCTGAGACTACATCTTGTGTATCAATTTGGGGGTCCTTGACACCAAAAATGGTGAGAACCACTTCTCTACCAGGAACAGCTTGAACATATAATATTACAGTGTGACTGATTATTGTGCTGACTAATTTGGGTTTGGTAGGTGCCAGTCTATTACAGTGATGTTACAGTATGTGTAAGATATTACAGGACAGTATAAACATGAAATATAAAAGACTACACTTAAATATATGAACACATAAACACCCAGACATCTACAAATGATTTTAAACATTTCATAAATGGTAAAAATATACAATTGTGTGTGTCTGTTCTTGTAAATTAAATGTGAAAAATGAACAGTAACATTTTAATGAATGGTTTACTGCATTCTAGAAGAGTCAGGTTCACAGTCCCCTCTGTGAAACATGACACAACACACACTTCTTGCTGAACATGCAATTAAAAGCCTGTTAACAGCCACACCCACATAAACATAGGCTAACAATAGCACACAGCAATGTTTCAGATCAACTGCAGTTGAAGTGTCTGACAGTGTGACACAGTGATGCACGGACTGGCAAGGGTCACATTTCCTGCTGGGGCACCTACAGATGATAATGAATAAGGAAACAAACATACATTGTTATTCAGCTCAGGTGCTCTGCAGGGAAGGTGATGACACCTTACCAGTGCACATTACCGACATATTTGTTATACAGTATGCTTAAATTATTAGATAAAAAGTAGGACTGAATGTTGAAAACTGGTTCTGAAGTGGAGCCCTTTCCAAAATTATAGGAACATTTGTTTGATTTGTCCCCGTCCAGTCAAAAATCTGTTCTCTTATTATTCTTACAGTGGGATGTTTGACCTTCACTGTGCATAACAGTGTCTGTGCAGTGAGAGTGCAGAGTTTAACACTAGAAGGAGGTTTTCACATTCCTCTGCTGAAAGTGCAAAGTTTCTCTGTGCTCATTCAAAATCAGATTTTAAGAGGTGGGGCCTACCAGCATGATTTTTGACATCACAAATAGTTTGTCTATCAAGCCTGTTCCAGTATGCAACTTCTACAGTGTGATGTCAAAACTTTAAGCCCCCAGTGCACATGCACTGAGAATTTACTTTAGAGTGAAGTTGACATAAAACACAATTTGCATACTTTTAGTTTCTGGAATTTTTAATGAGGTAGAAGGAGTAGATGCGTTTGTGAAATTTTTAACACACTTTTTGATACAGCTTACTGCTTCCTTATGGCAAAGTTTGGACCTAATGTCCTTCCTGCTACATCACCATTAATGTGAGTCAGTTCAGTCATGTATTCTGTTATAAAATATATAATTTATCATTTATATCCACATTACTGCCACAAATCTTGATTCAGAACAGGTTTGATTTTTTGCGTTTTTTTCACACCAGTCAGAGATAGAGGTGGGTGATATATATTGTTTGCGATAATATCGTCATTGTTGTTTTGACGATGTGCAAATTTCTATTATCGAGTATTTAAATTACTTCGCCAAAAATACTGAAACGCACGCGGAAACTCCTTGCATCCACTTAATACACGGTGCAGCAATGCTCTCTACAGCATGGCAGGATTCAGTCACACGACTATCACTAGCATCCTCCTTGCAACAGTTTAGCAGCGCGTTGTGATGGTAGAGAGAAAATGCAAGCACCTCCAGTCCCTGAAGCTACCGGTACTTCAGATGATTTACTGCCGAGACGTGGGTCTACCTCTCTGGCATGGAAATGGTTTGGTTTCGAAAAGACTTTTTTAGCGCAGCGCTCAGAGCTCTTCAAGTTGAAATCTGCTGAACTTTTAACACCGTTGGGCGCTCAGAAAATGAGTTTTTGAGCGCTCTCAGCGCTAAAAACGCATTTGGTGGACACAAGCCCTAATTCAGACAATTCTAATCACATTTCAAAAGGATATCGACTGATTATCGTTATCGCCAAAATCCCCAAAAATAACGAGATATTATTTTTTTCCCATATCGCCCACCCCTAGTCAGAGAAAAGCCCACAGACAGCACGGAGATTGCCAACAGACAGACAGAGAGACTAAACAGCTCAACCTCTTGCAGGGCCAAAGGCAAGATGCAGCCCAGAGTCTGCTCCTTGCAGCAAGGAAGGAAGAAAGAAAAAAAGGAAGATGGAGTGTGAGACAGCAACAACAACGAGTGGACAACTACTGTTCTTGACACCTTGGAATCAACTTTTTCTTTTTCCACAAAACACAGTATTGTGAGTATCGCAACAATCCAATCCAACTTTATTTGTTAAGCACTTTAAAAACAACCAAAAGTGCTGTACAGGAGAATAAGAAGTTTTTTTTTATCATATGTATGTATATATATATACATACATATGATAAAAAAAAAACTTCCCTCTCCCTCTTGGGGTGGTATCTGTGTCATCCTCAAGCTCGGGTCCTCTACCAGAGGCCTGGGAGTTTAAGGGTTCTGCGCAGTATCTTAGCTGTTCCTAGGACTGCGCTCTTCTGGACTGAGGCTTCTGATGTTGTTTCAGGGATCTGTATGCATTTATATGCATTTTATTTGTAAGCGCTTTTCTGAACACTTTACATAAAATCATAAAAGCAGCGAAAACAGCATCAAATAGTAAAAACACTGAAAACACATCGGACTAAGCTAAACATTAAAAGCAATTTTAAAAAGGTGAGTTTTTGTCAATGATTTGAACGCTGTAAGGTCAGTGCAATCACGGATTTGTTTGGGGAGAGAGTTCCAGAGGGAGGGGGCAGCAACGGAGAAGGCTCTGTCGCCCCAGATTCGGTGCTTGGTCCTGGGTGGTGGAGACAGGAGGTTTTCGTCAGATGAGCGGAGGCTACGGGATGAGTTGTGGCGGTGGAGCAGGTCAGTAAGGTAGGAAGGGGCCTGGTTATGGAGGGCTCTGTGTGTGAGGAGGAGGATTTTGAATTGAAATCGTTGTGGGACCAGGAGCCAGTGGAGGTCCTGGAGGACAGGGGTGATGTGGTCACGGGTGCTGGTGTGGGTGAGCAGACGAGCAGCAGAGTTCTGGATGTACTTGAGTTTATTTAAGGTTTTGGATGCTGTTGCAGTAGTCGATTCTGGAGGTGATGAAGGCATGGATGAGGGTTTCTGCGGAGAAAGAGTGATGGGCGGAGTCGGGCGATGTTTTTGAAATGCCTTGACCTTCCACATCGGCTCCAGCTGTTCTTTCAACCCTTGGTACTTTTCAACCTTTTCGTGTTCCTTCTTTCTGATGTTGGCATCTGCTGGTATGGCCACATCTATCACCACCGCTTTCTTCTGCTCCTTGTCTACCACCACTATGTCTGGTTGGTTGGCCAGGACCTGTTTGTCAGTCTGGAAGCTGAAGTCCCACAGCACCTTGGCCCTGTTTTGTGGTGCGGTCCATTGGGATTTGGGTACTTCTATTCCATACTGGGTACAGATGTTCCTGTACACTATTCCAGCCACTTGGTTGTGTCTCTCCATGTACGCTGACCCGGCTAGCATCTTACACCCTGCTACTATGTGCTGGACTGTCTCAGGAGCATCTTTGCATAGTCTGCACCTTGGGTCAGATCTACTCTTGTAGATCTTGGCCTCTATGGCTCTTGTACCTAGGGCCTGTTCTTGTGCTGCCATGATCAGTGCCTCTGTGCTGTCTCTGAGTCCAGCCTTTTCCAGCCATTGGTAGGTCTTCTCGATATCAGCCACTTCTTCAATTTGGCGGTGGTACGTGCCATGTAGGGGCTTGTCCCTCCAGGTTGTTTGCTCCTCTTCCTCTGCACTCTTATCGGGTTTCTGTTGCCTGAGACATTCACTTAGCAGGATCATCCTTTGTGGCCATTTTCTGATTTTTGATGTTTCATCCTGGATAGTGGCCTTAATGCTCACTAGTCCTCTGCCTCCCTATTTCCGCTTAGCATATTTCTCTTCGATGGACTTTGCCATGTGAATGTGTGTGAAAGGGTGAATGTAGCATGTAGTGTAAAAGCACCTTGAGTGGTTGGAAGACTAGAAAGGCGCTATACAAGTACAGGTCCATTTACCATTTACCATGTGTATCATTCTACTGACACCTCAACTGGACAGGATCATTCTGCATGAAGGCTTACTTTGGACAGAATGCAATACCAAATCTTTGCTCATTCTCCTGGTCTTTAGTACAGCACCCTGAATATGTATTTAACAAACTGAAACAATTGTGCTTTTTAAGGTTTTATGTCTGAAATGTGTCTGAGAAGGAAACAAAGTAAAAACATCCCACCAAGAAGCTGTTGTATAATTTCACTGTGACCAAAACATATCTTTTAATGAATAGATCCACATATATGTTGTCTCAGAGTACGCAAATACACACACACAAACCCAGAGACAGAGACAAGACAAGAGTGAGAGATTACACTCGTTGATAGAAAACAGTCTTGTACTGTTTCATATCTGAAGTCCTGCACTGCTAGGAAAACTACAGATATTGTTGTTGAGGTACTTTACTGGTACATATCTGTATCAGATATGAAACACAAAGCTGACTACAGTAAGATGTCAGTCAGGAACCAAATTTAACACCTAACAAGAGCCAAATGCAGGTAAATTTGGGGTTTAACAGAAAAATAAATTGGGTTCACCAGCCACATGGCAGTTTATATGACTGTTTTTTATGTGTTCCACTGTCCACCGTACCTATCATGACTTCAGCAAATCAAATCAAAGCTGCTTAATATTGTTTGGCACTTTTTACACAATGTCTTTCTATGTTCTTGTCATTAGAAACATCTGCATTACATGATCAATACAAAATGCATTTCAGAATAAATTTGAGACTATTAAAAAAATAAGTTTAATTAATAGTTTTATTTAGTTGTTTACTTTTCAAAATGGAGAGAAACTGAATTGTGTAACAATAGTCCTCCAATGTATTGTTCTGTACAGTTTAATTTAGCATCTCTACACTGTCGTTAAAACAGAGATTCATAGTCCTCCCTTTGAATTGAACAAATCAACTGCACACCATTCCATAAATGCTGTTTTCAATTCTTGACAGGGTCTTTTACTTCCAGTTACTTGCCAGTGTTTGGTTTTTTTCTTAGTATTCAAATACACACAGAGAAATTATGCAGACATGCATTATTGGGCACATCATAAATAGAAGTGAAGATACAGTGTCCAGATGTCAAAACCAGATGTCCTGGTTTGCCTGGGACTGTCCCGAGACCCAACAAATATCTGTAGAACACTAGAATGTCCTGGTTTTCAACACTCAATAACAAATTGTGCCAGTTTTCATCAAGATTAAAATAATTATTATTTAGGCTTGACAAACATTTATCATGTTCTGTCCCACTCATTATTACCTAACCCAATATAAAACATAAACATTGCAACACGTGTCTGAATTCAACACTGATGTGTCTGTATGAGAATCAATCAATTGTTATCAAGGCTATGTGTCATAGGAACGCATCATCACAGGCACCTGGCTCTGTCCATAAGAAGAATTGATATGGTAAAGGCATGCTTATCCACAGAAACCATAGTAAAAATCCAGTTGCAGTATTTGACTGGGAAATTAAAGTTAATGATGATGCTGTGTCAAAATGATAGATACTTACATAGAGTGGAGCTTGTTGGGGATTTAGTTTCATGGTGCTGGACTCTAGAAGAAAAGACACAGGGTGACAGAGATGTGAGCATTCATTTTGCACATAAAGAGGACAATTCCTAAAAAAACAAAACAAAAACACCAGACTCCTTGCATCTGCAGCAACAACATTTGACATAAAAACAGGCTTTCCCAACCCTCCAGCCAGTTTAATACTGACACTCCTCTTTCCACAGAAACCATAACATGGGCCCTGTAATACAGGTTAGATGAACTTGATGCAGGCTATTTAGCTGTCAAACAATATCTTCTTTTTTTTACTGGTGTCAGTGTAGCCAAACCTTATTTGGTGTGTGCGTCTACAGTAAGTAGTCTCCTTGTAATAACATTGTTTACGGGTGAAAACGCTGTTTCCACAACACTTTCACGAAAGTCTCCACTCTCAAACATACAGGAAAATGGTTCCAATCACTTCTTCATCATCCTCTTTTCAGTTGGCAGACTGATCTGCTGATCACACCCAACATCTGGTCAGACAGCTGGTTACCCTACTGAGTACTGATCCTGTATTCTGTCTCCTCATCCTCAATATGTTTCCATGCAGCTGAATTCACCATGGTGAGTGTTCTGGGTAACATCTGTTTTTAGGAGAGGGGGGAGCTTGAAGTACACAGAAAAAAAACTCAACACAGTAGCATAGAAACCAAATCACCAATTAGAATTGTGGCAGCATTATTTGCAGAGCGACGCCAACACACCAACACACAAGTATAAATGCTCACAGCGAAGAAGGTCACTTAGCATCATAGAGACAAGAACTATAAATCAGTCCAAGTACAAACAGGCTTCGGTGAAGGTAAGTAATCAGAAGAAAGTGGGCTTGAAGAGGGGTTGCATGGAGGGACAGTATAAAACAAATAAGGTTTTTTTATATGGAGTGAATAATGCAAAGCTACTCTAGTAGTCTCAGAGCTTAAAATGAGCATATTTGAACCAAGGGGATCACCCCTTTAAAGTAGTGTGTAGGATTTAGTGCCATCTAATGGTTAAGTTGCAGATTACAACTAACTGAACACTGCTCACTGTATTTGACAACATGGAAATGAGATCGGGCTGTAAAGTGTGTCGTAGACACATGGTGGTCTAACACATGGCATCTGTAGATAAAAACTTAGGACACACTGACTCCACTATATGTTTAATTTATCAGCTAATAGTTGTTTGCTCCTATATTTATGTTCTAAATCATATATGTATAACCTTTAAAAGGTCCTACACACTCACACTGGTGTTTCACTTATACTGGCTGATTAGACCTCTGCACTGGTTAAAGCATAGGGAGACACGCAGGGATACACATGATTTTAAAGTCTGTGTAGCAATAAGAACATTAAGGTGTAAGATGGTGCAGTGGTTAACGCTGTCACCTCACAGCAAGAAGGTTTTAAACCTGCTGGCCAGCTGGAGCTTTTCTGTGTGGAGATTCCATGTTTTCCCTGTGCCTGCGTGGATTTCATCTGTCTCTCAGGTGGAGAGAGGTTCAGTACCTACAATTGTATAACAAGTTATACCCACGATTTTCTACTATAATATGTCAAGAAGACTTTTAGTGGAATCTCGAGCATTGTCTACGACAGACATAATTAGCTCTGTCTGCTGCGGCATGGCTGTAACGCATCGTGGCTATGCCTCGTAGAATTTGGGGGTTAATATGTCTGAAAAGAATACCATCACCAATTTTATTTTTGTCTTCCCCTGTTTTTTTCTTTTTATGCCCTACATTAAGTTTATTATTAGCTGTAGCTACTATGATCAGGAACAGTAACAATAGTATTATGACTTAACAACAATTGTGCGGTGACAGTGGTCAGCTCTATGTCTGTTTCAGTCAAACGAGAACATAATCTTTACTTAGAAATTGTCAAGTAGTCCTGGAGTGATCCTTAAGTGATGTGGGGTCAGTTCCAGTCAATAAGTAAGAAGTGAGAACTAAAGAATCTGATTCATTCTGTAGTACAGCTTAAAGATCTGCTGTTCAAAGCTGCAGAGGAGAAATTCTAATCAGGACGGTGCAGTCAGCCACAACTATCATGTACATGAAGTCAGTAGTGAGTATAACTGTCTCACTGTTCAAAACACATTCTAATTACAGGCAGGTCAGAAAGACAGAAAGCCGAGGTCACCACACTCTTCTTCTACATGCACTGATGTGGTTGGCCGATGGGCAGGAAACAGGAACAGAGGAGCCTTAGAAGTCTTCCTCACACACTCGCAGGAGAAAACAAGCCTTCCTTACAACATAGACAGACAGACAGACAGACAGACAGACAGACAGACAGACAGACAGACAGACAGACAGTCTGATTGTGTCTGATAGAGGCAGACAAAGACTTACTCCAAAATACAGGCATTCAGACACATGCCTTGGCATCCATTATGTTCTCTCAGAAACTGAGACTTCTGTTTACTGTGTGAGTGTGTGTATGAACTGTACTGTGGGATGTAAAGCACAAAACCCACACGTAACTGCACACACTATTATTACTTAAAAGTTATATGGTATTTGAAACATTAATATAGCGTATAACTATTATCTATGTAAAGATATAGGGGAGTCATGGTGTCACACACTCTCTGCCTATGTTGCTATCGCAGGGTCACGTTTTAATGCCTATATTCATCATCTGTGATGTGAATTTCTTCAGTCAATGTGTAGTAACTGACACTAAATGTGTGCGTTGAGAGTTGGGTAGTAACAAATATTACAGGTACAATACAAATGTTGTTTAATTAATGAGTATGAGTATTTTTTTTAAACCTTCAGACTATACATTGTGGAATATATTGAGCCAGTAATTTACTTTTTACTTCGTGTCATCTGCATTTCTACCTTCATTACAACTAGTCTGCTCTAAATGTGAGGATTCCCTACTACTGGCATACAACTGATGGCATTCATCAGTTTAGTAGGCGGTTTCGAATACAGCCCTTGCTTCAGGAGGTTCAGTCATAAAAGGACATTAAGTATGAGGCATTAAGATGACTAAAGTTTACCGCATCAGTCTGTCTGGCTATAGAGATAATCCACACCCCCCAGTGGAATGCATGTATGTGTGTGTGTGTGTGTGTGTACATCTGTGTATGTGCCTGCTACTTGGCCCACCCACCCACTCATCCCACAGCAGGGGTTAATTCATCAGATCAATCTGTTTCTAAAGCCCACATCTAGTGACAGCTTCTACCAAATGCCCACTCAGTATACAGAGCAGTCACAGCTCACAGAGGTCCCAACAAATGTTGTGAAATCAATCAATAATGAGTCTTGAAAGCACCAAAAGATGAGAGAGAGATACAGAAGAAAGAAAACTAATGGTTTGATGAAGATGAAAATAATGTGAATGATGTTGTGGGCTACAGACATACACTGCAGCACAAATAGTTTTATCACCTCTGCCTTTATATCCAGAGTTGGCAGTAAAGAGATCCTTCTGAACTTAGTGTTCAAGTCACAGAGGCAAAACATTCCAACATGTCTTTTTATAAATCAGGCTGGTCAAAGCAGGCAAGCTGGTCTAAATATAGGAAGGAGGGTATCAAACAAGAACAATCAGATGCTGACCCAGGAGAGGGGAGCTGGAAACTTCTCTTTAACTTAATTTCTGTCATATATATATATATATATATATATATATATATATATATAAAATGTTACAGTGTTGGATGTTGACATTAAAAGTCCAGTGTATGTGAATTTAGTTGCATCTAGTGGTGAAGTTGTTTCAGATCACTACTCCATTGCTTCACCCTCCCCTTCCAAGTGTGAGAATAGGAATTACAGGTGCAGCTAAATGCACAAAAAACGTAAACGTCCCTATCTAGAGCTAGTCTTAAGTCTGTCCCTTTTGGGATACTGTAGAAACATGGCAGTTCAACATGGAAGGCTCATTCTAAGGTTAAAAAAAAACCCCACAATGATTCCTATATTATATACGCTATATTATGGGGCGCTGTGGCTCAGAGGCAGAGCGGGTTGTTCCTTGATCGGAAGGTTGTGGGTTCGTTCCCCGGCTCCTGGTGCCACATGTCGAAGTATCCTTGAGCAAGATACTGAACCCCAAATTGCTCCCGATGCTGTGCATCGCTGTGTCAATGTGTATGAATTAGTTTCTGTTTGATGGACTATGCCATCATCTGTGTGAATGTGTGTGACAGGGTGAATGTGGCATGTAGTGTAAAAGCGTTTTGAGTGGTCGGAAGACTAGAAAGGCGCTATACAAGTACAAGTCCATTTACCATATTCAGGTAATGAAAGCGTAGTTATAAATATTATATTCCACCTTTAAACAAGGCTAAAATGTCAGATAATGAGGAAAATGTCCTGTGAGCAAAAAGCTCAGAATTCAGACAGCTCTGAATGCAATTTCCAACCTCTCTTTTCATACTCTTTAGTATCAAAGCAATTCTGTCAGTGCCATTAAAGTCAAAGTTGGGTACCAAGTCTTACCTGGGATGTTCCTTAAAAACATTAACAGTGTAGTTTTTTTGACTTAGTCCCACATACACCGTCTTACTTCCCCAAATACTCACTAGAACACCAAATCTAGATGAATCCACCACTGAAAATAATCCCCAACATATTAACAATTTCCCGCTATTTTAAAGGTTTCATAAAACTACAGTGACCAGCTGTTTAAGGAAATTACTTAACCTTTTTTGTAAATTAAATTATATATTGTGAGGTGTGAAGATTTATATCTTATTAACCAAGTCTGGCTAAGATTTATATCATGGTATAATGTGATTTTCTTCTTGTGTACTTCTTCTTTTTCTTCTCCCCTTCACTGTGTGCTGATGGGCTCTACCGGATAGCACAGTATAGTCAAAGGTTTACCACAGAACAACCTATACCTGTGTACTTTTTATATTGTTTATACTGTATTTAGAAAATATAGAAAATGTGTTATTAGTAGTTTTTATTTAAAGTTCCAGTGTGTAACATTTAGAAGGATATAATGTCACAAATGAAATAATGTGCATAGGTATGTTTTTATTAG